TTAAGATAAGGCAACAAATTAGCAAAATGTGACGCTCCCCTCCCCCCTTTATGTCAGCCATACTGAAGTTGACCGAATTCAAAAGGAATTTGTAAATCTATTGAATTATTTTAGCCAAAACAGATCATTTTCACACAAATTGAAGAAAAGAATTGCAGTTTTAATGCATATGTTAAAAATCTTTACGTACTATATAATGAGAGAAAAAAAAATAACAAAAAAGCTATTTATAGATTTTTTTTTTTCAAATCCCCGAATTTGTTTGAATAACATGTTTGAAATTTCTACAATGTTCCGATATTACACAAAGTGTACGGGATTCTTCTAACAATACACAACCTCTAAAAAGATATATTCGTATAAAAATATCTGAAAATAGAGTGGGGGGGCGGACATGATTAAGAATAAAATATCTACATAATATAAGAGCGCGCCACGACAGGAAAATGGAATATTTGAGAAGACCGCGACAAGTAAATTACAACATCGACTTTCTTATGCACATCCAACAGATATTTTCATTACAACGTGCGCCCCACATATTTGAATATTTATGAGCATCTTGTAAACGCGCGTTTCTAAAAAAGTGGGCGTTTCTTAATAACTATAAGCGCGCGAATATATCCTCCCTTTGAAAGTGCAATTAAGAGCGTGTATATAATGCAATAATATTAATGAGGAACAGTGAACTATAGATTGAAAAAAAATATTAAATTTTTTTCTTTTCTTTTTAGATTTTCACTAACACTAAACTATTAAAAAAATTGAATAGCCCCTTCATATATTGAAATCACGCACCCCTGACCCTTTAGTAAAAGTAAATTCAACCTAAGTCTGACCACGTCCTACTGGGTGCCTGCTTTGTCCGGGCGATACAGTACAAACTGGGACCAGAAAGGTTGACCCGGCTCGGAAATTCAAATGTACTACGGCTTCCCGTGAACTAGAGAGGAGACAATACTAGTACGACTTTGTTATATCGTAGCTCCTGTAGTTTTCATTTTACGAAAAAAGAAAATTTATCATGTAAAATGTCAAAAAATCAAAAAAAATGTTATCAATAGCTAACAAGAGGAGTTATGATTAAAAACCTTTTAGATTTCTATCTTATGCGAAATTTACTTTGATTTGTTCCAATTTCTATCCCCCTTAAATTCACCTCATTTGACTAAACCCCTCCCCCTCCCCCAATCCACGTATGACCTAATAGGTGATTAAGAAAACTAATATGTACCCTTGTGTCCTATATTCCACCCCCCTCCACCCCCCAAAATTGTTGAAATTACACGATGTCAAGTATAATATATGCAAGTTTAAGTATGACATCAAACTCTAAATTATTGAATAATTCCTCGAGTTCATATGAATATTTATAGGGGGTCATTATGCATGGCATATATAGTTATTGTATAGTTATTATTGTGCCAAATTCAAAATTCAGATTATTACAAAAAATCGCAAAACTAACTTTAAACTTTAAATTGTAAATACAATACTGAACTGTTTTAAAATCACTATAGTTTCAGTAGAAGTAAATATTTCCATTTACTGTTATATAGCGCCGATTTAAGGATTTATCTCTAATTGGATAATGATATAGATAGAAAGATAGATGTTACCACCATTACTATTTCTATTGGTTCAGAATAGACACCAAACACATGATTAAACGCTGATTGGATCAGGCACTAATGAACACCCCTTTTTTTGTTCATCAATGAATGATATCCCTTTTATTGCTGAAAATTAATTATTTCTAATTGTGGTTAAAATTATGCCAACAGTCCCTTTAAGGCAGTGATAAGGGGGGGGGGGTATCGTTTGTTGGGCAAATGATCAATTATTCTAGAAATACGATAATTTATTATTAATTAAATGTTAATTGATTAATTTTAAGAAAGATAACTAATCAATGGACTCCTAATCAATCTTCTGGCAAATATAAGATTTCCTATAATGTAAACAAAACTGTGGTAAAATTTACCGCATTCAATTTTTGATTAGATTTTTTTTAAGTTGACAAAAAAATTAACATCGGCCACAGACTCAAATTGTCTAATCACCATATTTTTGCAACCTGATGGTGTACACTGTACACCTTTGATATTTTCAACTAAGATTAATTGATCTACCAGAATTCATAGTTTTAAATATCTAAGCTTTACGGTTATGAAATGCAAAAAATATAGAGATTAGAAAATCAGAGTTTGTGGCAAAGACTCCTTTACAAGTTAACGGATATAAGATTTTGATCGGGTTTTGGTGTGGTATCCAAAACTATTTATGATGGATAAATATCTAAAAATATTTTGATATAAATATTTGAAATGAATAAGATATTTCGACTAGTTATATTATCTGATAAGCATATTTGTACACAACTGTTTAGTATCTCAGTGTGAAATACTAAATATTAATCATGGACTTATTTAAACGAATATAAACGGACTTATCATAAATAAAATCAAGCTTAACAAAAGAACTTGAAAAATAGTATTCTTATTGCGGCGCCAGTTTCCATTAACAGAAGAATTAATGTAAACCAATTTTGCAAATAATAATGATAATAAAAGATAAAATTTGAATTTTCAAATCTATATATAAATTTGGCTTGTCTTCTTGTTTGGGTGTCTGTTTGTTTGTTTGTATTCAATAAACGTCAAAACAGCTGAACCGATCGGGCCCAAATTTTTGTGGGACATCACGTGACCACAGGGAAGGTTTATGAATGATAAAAATTTTTTTAAATGTGTTTTAAAGGTTTTTAATTTTGTAAACATAGCGAACAAAATCCATATCTTAAAAAAACTTTCATATCTTAAATGTAGTTCTTATAAACTAGTACATTAAAAATGATATTTAGCAGTCCTTGCATTTCTAAATCCATATTTACATATATTTATCGATTATAAGCTTATCTAGTGTAAATCTAACACTTCTACATCACACTTTTGAAAAATAATGTGAACGTTATTAAATTAAAGTAAATGCAATACATATTATATATTTTCAGAAATATAATTTTAAACGATTTTTTGCTTTCAAATGCAAAAAAAATCATTTATAAATGAACCATTTCAGATTTGAAATGTCAATATTCCCAAATGTTTTTCCAGTCACCTTTCTTTTTGAAAATTAAATAATAATGTTAAAAAGCATTTTTTTAATCTTGCTTGCTTCAGATAAAATGTATTCTAGAGTAGCCGCTAAGTGATCTTTTGTTGTAGAACAAATATATTTTATATAATAAATAATTATCTAAAGTTGATATCTACTATCTAACTATGCGACCAGAAACCTTAAAGGGACTGTCCTCGATATTTTATGTGTCTTTTCATTTAAAAAGGGGCACTACCCGATTCACAACGATACTCCCTTGTCGTTATCTGATTAATAATGTGAAATTCTAATCTGTTCAATTCTAACTCATTCCAAAACTATTTCTTCAGCTGTACTCCGAATGTCACGTTTATATAGAGAACCGCAATTGAAAATAGTCAATTTTCAAAGAGATGTTAATGGATATATCCAGTAAATATTTAAGTGAATCGGACATGCCATAGCACAATAAAAAAATGGAGGGTCACTTAAAACTACTGAGACAGGTTTCATCTACCAAATCCAAGAATTTCTACGTAAAACAAAGATTTTAAAAAAATTGTGTGGTTTAAAACAATGCAACTCGAAGAGAAATCCCTACTTACTAGAAAACCAACCACCAAAAATTCAAAGAATCAGAACAAACGAAGACTCCAAGACGCCCTGGCATCATTAAATTCTTTTAAATATTTGCTAAAACTGTGTGCTTATGCTAAACCTGTTTTCTGCCAGGAATGTCTGCTACGAAATCTGAGCATGATCCAAATTTGCAATAATTCCCTGAAGCTCTCGGGTCAGAGATCTTTATAAAACCCTCCCCCCCCCCCCCCCCGTCTCCAAAAAAAGCACAAAATTTAAGAAATTTCGAACAAGAAATGAAGTCCCAGTGCCAACAGATATTTCCTTTAATGGTTTTTATTTATGGAAAATATAAAGATAAAGATCGTCAATTGTGTTCAAACCTGTTCAAATAATAAATCATTTTTAAGAAACAAGTTTGGTTTGGTGAATTTACTCATAGTAATGGGCAAAAACTTTGTTATTTTTTTAATTTTTAAGGTTTTTGGACTTTTTAAATACTGTGAAGTGTAAACTTGTAACTGTTCCAACATTTCATAAATGCATAATTCATATTCTGGAAACATTTCTTTTTTAAAATTTAAATCTTATAGAACATTTTTTTTAAATGGTAGTTTTTAGTTGTTTTTTAGTTTATTTACTCATGTATCTTCTCCCAGGGTCTAAATTTTCCAGTGTCCACTGTAATAATAGCAAATGTTTAGAATAAACTATTTTAAAATTAGTATTACTTCTCAGATTTTACAACTATAGATGATCCTATCTCAGAACCATTTTTTTCAAATAGTTCGTTTAGGAACAATTATCTTTCTTAATAATTATTAATAAAATTCTAAAACTTACTAATTTTAAGAGCAAATATTATGAAAAGAATACTTATCAACAAACGAATGTGTTCAAATTTACAAATCACATTTTGAATTAAATTTTAAAGATTTTGTTAACACAAATCAGTATTGATTAGAGCAAAACTGAATTGTTAAAGTCAAATTTATAATAATGAAAATAAAAATAATAATAACAATAATTATAATAATAGGAATAATATTGATAAAAATATAAATAATGAAAATTATAATAAAAAAACAATGACAATAATACTAATAATATCAATAATAATAAGATTATTAATAATGATAATGATATAAAATTATTATTCAGCTTGATTTTGCGTTTTATTTAATCGTATAGTTAAATTAAACAGTAAATAAATATTTCCTTAAATGCTTACCGCAGTACTTTAGAAAAATAAATGGGAAAACTGTTTTAAAAAAATCTTTTTTTAAGTTTTAAGTTGTAACATATTTAGATATAAAGCTTACCTATATATCTGACATCAATTTCTGGCAACTTTTATTTCAAAATCAGTATCCGGAAAATCACAACAATTTAATTAGGATAAAAATCACAAGATGTTTTTAACTAAAATCACTAAATTTTCCGGCGTAGATTTTGCGATGTTTGCAGGTCCGTGGTCGGAACTCAACTGGACATCCGACATTCGTCTCTACCAGGTGTTACGGACCAGACGGATAGGTAGATAGATATACCGGGGATAGGTAGATAGATACCGGTAGGGGATAGATAGATACAGGGAAGAGAAGGATAGATAGATAGCGGAGAGCAGGAGAGAGCGGTAATGTTCTGGTCCTAAATCCTCATTTCAAGCCTTTTAAGATGCTTTGATAGAGTTTAATCATGCAAGGTTAGGACCCAGTAAACAACCAATCAAAAATGTCAAGCCATCAATTTTTGTAAACCTTTAAACCACATGACAGGGGCGCTCACAGGGGTGGGAGTGGGGGTATGGGGCTGAGCCCCCACCTCTCCTGGAAAAGTAAAGTAAAGTTTTGGGGGAGAATTAAACTGAGCCCGCTCCCCCTTGAAGAGTTAGAACAGCTGTTAAACCCCCCTCTCTCTTCTTGACAAATTCCTGAATACGCCCCTGTGTGCAAATACTAAAACATGGCCTAAATATTTAAAAGAATCATAATTGATAATTAGTTCAAAAATGTCCGGCCTCTTTCGAAATAAACTCAGTTTTCGTCTGGTATTTGAAAGCCACCAAACAGAGCATATAAGACAAGATTCAAATTAAAATATATAAACTTTGTTCTTATTATGCTCAACTATAAGTGAAAATCGTAAAAATCCTATTTTTATTTTTGAAAATGGGTTCCAAATGGAAGACTATTTAACCTGGATTTAGAATTAACAACTTTGCCTATAAGTATCGTTAAAATCTCCACCTGTTCTTGTTATTTTTGTTATTATTATAATTAGCTTTAGATCGTTTGCAGGTTCCGGTCATCTGGCTTATATAGTAACATCATCTAAACATCACTACCACTGTGAACTTGACATAAGGAGGAGGTCAAATTTATGAAACAATAATTGGTACGAATTTGTAACCTCGTTGCTTATCCAGATTTAATGCTTAAGTCACGCAAATCTGCCCCTTCAGTAAAAGTAAATTCAACCTATGAGGCTTAAAGTCTGACCGCGTCAACCTTGTTCCACCGGCTAGTCCTGTCCATAGTGCTATGTAGTATTTACAGTACAAACTGGGACGGGAAAGGTTGACCCGGCTCTGAAATTCAAATGTACTACGGCTGCCCGTGAAGTATTAGAAACTCAAACGTATCCGGTTACATTTTAGAAATTCAAAACATTTTTGTTATTCTCTATATGGATCTTATTCTCTATATGGATCTTATTCTCTATATGGATCTTATTCTCTATATGGATCTTATTCTCTATATTGATCTTATTTAAGAGTTTAAGAGTTTTGATTAAAAACATAAAAGATTTAAATCTGATGTGCAATTTACTTTAATATTTAAGCTAATGTTATAAACAAGGTAAAAGCATATTTTGAAGTAAGCCAAGTTTTCAAACCCTTGATTTGTTTATTTTCTCCATATTTAGAGAGAAAATCAATGAATGTAAACATTAAATATGTTTTTCATGACTTTGAAAATTTTAAAATCAAACAAATTTCAAGAATATTTTTTTTCTATTCATGTTCAGCCATTCGGAATAATTTAATTTCTATACTGAAAATTGAGATATATATATCTACGTATATGTATATATAAAATTGAGATATATATATCTACGTATAGTATATAGTATAGTATATATAAAATTGAGATATATATATCTACGTATATGTATATATAAAATTGAGATATATATATCTACGTATAGTATATAGTATAGTATATATAAAATTGGGGATTACATGTTTATAAACAAATGTAGGATTATTAGAGTGTATTATTAGATCAATAACGAGTATATATGCATGTTATAAAAAAATCGATACATTTTTAATTTTCCCATATAGTTATAGTTGGTTATATTTTAATTTACAGGGTGTTCCACAGTAAGATAGACGACTTGAATGTTGCGTCCGTGATCAATTTGAAATTATTTGCGAAATTTATTCATTAACCTAATCTTAGAAGTAAAATTCTAGAGTTAATAGTACACATAATCTTGACATTTCCAAAATGTGGTCTGCCTNAGGTTAAAGGGGCCGAGCGATGCGGCTAGCTCGGACAGGTTAAAGGGGCCGAGCGATGCAGATAGCTAGGGCAGGTTAAAGGGGCCGAGCGATGCGGCTAGCCCGGACAGGTTAAAAGGGCCGAGAGAAGCAGTAACAAAATTAGTAAGCTAATTGTTTTGGAGACAGAATAGGTAAAGGCAATTTACTGGCCTTATGTGCTAGAAAAGGCAAGGAGGTGTAGCACTGTGTTAGGAAAAGTTAGAGGGGCCAAGCGCTGCGACACCTGTAATTTGACCATAATGTACGTACAAGCGTAAATATTTGTATTTTCTATTGTCGGTTAGTATGAGTAATTGAGATGGTTATAACTGAAAACATATTATTTTTTGACAAGAGAGGATGGTTTTAGATGAGTCATATCTATGCATAGTTACAGAGAGAGAAAGCTAGAGAGGAAGGTGTACTTGAGATGAGGGCACGCTTAAAATACGATTCCGACAATATTAAGAGTAAAATATCCTAGATACTTAAATCAATAGATGTTTATACTCCATACTGATATTCTATGTGTGGTGTGTGTTTAAAAATACATTTACTTTAAATTACCATTTTTAATGATTCTAAGATCCCTTTTTAAATTTTATAATCTTAGTAATTGCTCAATTAATTAATGAACGTGTTAAAATAACTAAAATTTGTCAGGATTTGATAATCAAATCAAAAAACCATTATGTTTGAAATCATGTCATAAAAATGACACAAAGTGTGAAAAAAGCATTCATTAAAGAATAGATAAAATAATGCATCAACAACAGCATTATTTATAAGTGTTAGGACACAAAAAAGGAAGAGTCATTGTTTTGAATTTTTGACTTTTGGATTGTGTCCATGGTGTAATATTTTTGGAAAAATATTTTGTTTTTTTATCAAATGCGATTTACTCATCATTGATCTCAGATATTTTATATAATACGGATTAAAAAAGTAAAAAAGAAAAAATAGAGAATAAAAACATATAGGGTTCAATAACCTTTAATAATCAATATTTTCATCAGAGTAATTGTACAGTCACAAAATTAAGTATAGTTTACATACAAGATAAATACATGGAGATGTGTTTACTTTTTTATGTTTGAAACATTTTGTTTTATCTTCTTAAAATATATTAAAAACTATTCTGAGTAAACATGTTGCAGTTTTCAATATTACAATATTACAACAGTAAATTTGCGAGGAATTAAAGGGAGTGTTCGCGAAAAATGAAATGGGGTATAGACTTACGGCGAAAAATAAGCGCTTTTGATCGTTACTAATCTTACTTCCATCTGTTGCGTCTAACAGAAGAAAATTATTAAAATCGACCCATACCGAAGTGTCAACATTCAAATCGGATCGTAAAAAAATTGATTCAAATTCAAAAATATTATTTAGATATTTCAACAAATAATCATCGATATTTTTTCGATGCATTCGTATATAGTTGATATTTCATAATATTTTTCATTTTTATGATCTGATAGTTACTTTCAAAACATTTATTTCTGTTTCGAGAATTTTTGATAATGAAGACGACATTTTTATATTTTACAGGAATGTTTGAAAATGTGCGTAATATTATTTTAAACAAATAATCAGTAAATTTACGAGGATTTAAAGTTGTACCAGCAAATTAACCTGTATCTGTAGTTTCTACAGTAGTCTTGACTTTATGTAGAGTTCTGATTTCTATTTGTTTAAGCACACAAATTAACAAAGGTCAATGTTTTACCTTCTTTAGAGTCCTAAAATTGATCCATAATGCCAATAGCTAAATAAATAAATGTTTAACAAATTATGAAAGCACACATTTTTAATTCATTTAGAAACTTTTGTCATGGGAAACTCCAACACGGAGGGCATTATCCCATAAATAAAGGATGAGTCATAAATATAAATATATTTTTAATGATTGCAAACATACACAATATTCACTTTAATTAAAGTTATGTTTATTTTCATCAAAAGTAAGGCAGAGAGAATTCGGGAATATAAACTTAATCCAAAAAAGACGATTAGTGTACGAAACCATAATTGTTGTTCATAATATTTTGCTGTGTTGAGCGTGGGGGGGGGGGGGNCCCTCCTCTCTCTCTATTACAATACTTTAACTACCATACTTATAGATATATGCATTTTCACAATTTCACTCTGCCTTCCCATTATTTAGATTAATATAAGATTTGATTTGATATAAAAACGATAATTAATTGAAGCGTCAATGTAAAAAGTTAGCAGAGCACAAGAGCGCAGCATTACATTTTTCCAATATTTGCTTTGTAATCGCGTGCGGCATTTATCCGGCGTGTGCGCACAATGCGCGGAATAATTGTATGATTCATATTGTTGTAAAACTACCCAATGGAACTGTCAGATATTAATCACCACCTGCCATGGAAAAAAATAACAAAGATCGGAAAATTTCGCGAATTTACAGAATTGCAAAATTCTAGTTATTAATGTCAAAATATTTTATATCTTTAATCTAAAAATATTTTAATCTCATATAAGTCCTGTTTGTCTGTTTGTCTGTTTGGATGATCGTCACTTTTAAACAACTTGACCAATTTGCCTCAAATTAGATCCACGAGAATGTTCTTACTTTGGTTGAAAAGTTCTAAGTCAAGTTGCTTGACTTTTTTAGGAAGAACTTGATTCCTGACTATGCTTGGTTATCAAGCTAGTATGATTTAATTTTTTATATTAAACATCAGCCACGAATTCAAAATCCTAGTTATAGCTCCCAAAGTTAGACCCATATATGAAACCTTGACGCTTCAAAAATGAGAATTCAAAGGAGGTCTTAAAAGGTGTTTAAACAAATCATAGCTTTGAAAAGATAAACATTACAAACTCATTAAAGAGAGTGCTCGCGAAAATATAAACGGGGACATCATCAAGAAAAGAACCACAATAATATTTTCTTATATTTTACAGAGTGACATGCCCGA